AGAAATTCAACCCCGCACGTATCGCGCCACTCGGTCCGTCTGTCTCTTCTCGTTTGCTTTCTTCCCTCGCCGTCTCGTCCGTCTCCTGCCTCCCTCCCGCCCTAATGGTTGGTGGCTTGTGGTTTCGTCTGAGCGCCCGTTGTCGGCTGTCCTCTTCTTCCTTCTCGTGCCAGGAGGTGATGATGAACTTCTCAGCTCCCTGCAGCACCGCCGCATGCCAGGGTACTCCCCCCTCTACCTTCGCGGCTTCCGTCCAAGTTAGCTTCGGTGCCGTGTCTTTCGGTACCAGGATTCATTCCGAGAAGACAACATGGATGGATCGTTTTTCGTGAATCCGTGGTCGGCCCCGAATGCCTTCAGGTCGCCGAGCACACACTTCGGCCAGTTCTGTTCCTGTCCCCCCCTACGTCGCTTCTCCCCCCCTGCCAGTTCGCCGAGCATCAGTCGTTTCGGGAGTCGCCCGTCCGGCTGCCTTGCCGATACTCCCGCAAACAGTAGGCGTCGTTGTCGGATCGTGGCTTCAACGCTCTGGCATTCGACCCTCTTCAGCGTCTGGGCGTAAGAGAGCTGCCGGTAGGTGTCTTTCTTGCGCTTGTACCCGATAACTCGAAGGAGCAGTCGGTGGTGTATCGACCGCAGCGTCTGATAGTGGCCGCTGAGTGGTGACCATGTCATGCAGCCGTACAGCAGTGCCTCCATCGCCTCCGCCTGGAGCAGGCGGATCTTGAGTCGGAATGGCGCTTGCGGTCTGTCGAAGAGCTCCCGGCCATANGGGCGTAAGAGAGTTGCCGGTAGGTGTCTTTCTTGCGCTTGTACCCGATAACTCGAAGGAGTAGTCGGTGGTGTATTATCGACCGCAGCGTCTGATAGTGGCCGCTGAGTGGTGACCATGTCATGCAGCCGTACAGCAGTGCCTCCATCGCCTCCGCCTGGAGCAGGCGGATCTTGAGTCGGAATGGCGCTTGCGGTCTGTCGAAGAGCATGGCCATATCGCCTGAGGCACGCCTACTACGCTCCTCTGCTCCTGTTACAGTGCTACAGTAGTTGATCTCCGGGGTGAGGTCGCAATGTTCGTTGACGAGGCCACCGAGGTACCCGAACTCGGTCGTCCCATGGATGCGATTGATTGCGGGGACATGTTACCCTCTCATGGATACGAGTGATTTGCGATCTTTGTTCATTAGTTAGTCTCGACAAGATCTTGGAGAAGAAAAAAATATATGGCCCGACTTTCGCCATTTGACTTCAACCCTCCTCTGGATCTTGGATGTTTTGCACGATGCAGCCGATGCCATTTCTTCACCGTGCCTTCTTCGCAAAAGAAACGCCGTCCACGGGTCAATCACACACGCACCGCTACAAGAGTAGTACCGCCTGCTCCTCTCGCCTGGCACGCTTGCCTACGCCTGCTGGTGTTGCAAGATGAAAGCCAGAGATGGCCTCCTGGGGTACCTCATCCTTTCGCCGCACGTGCTGGTGGTGGCCTTGCATGCATCATCGTTCTCGCCCAAGATCCGGCATGGGAGGAGTGCTCCCTCTGCTGCTGCAATTCTCGGGTGAGATAGATCTTGGGGGAACATAATACTAGCAACGGCACCTTACCGCCTCCAGCACACGTGGTGGAGGGTCTGGGGATGGTCATCTCAGTTGTGGTCTTGTGATGTGCAGTACCTCTCGTTCTTTGGCCGCGTTTGAGCTGCTCTTGCAGAGCAGAAAGTGCAAACTCTACAACAGCGCAGCTGCTTCACCGCGGCGTATGTAGGTTTATGCTGACGTGTGATGGGAGATGGACGGAAAGGCACTCCGTGCTTCCTGCTTTCTCATTCACCTTCACCAGCGAGAAGCACCTGGTATGTGGTCGGGCAGGCAATGCTACCACCCGCATGGTGTTGTGGCTTGCCGGGGGTAGGTAGCAAGAGGATCAGACAAGAAATCCGTAGCGCTCGCTGGTTACTTTCGGAGAAATTGCTGCTGCTGCTGCTGCTGCTGTGTCGCCGAGCGTCCTAACTGCCACGTACAACTGCAGCGCCCGGAGGGGCAAATATGCCGCGTGCTTCTGCTAGTCTGGTGTGTCTATCACCGCTTCCGCAAAGCCCCACAGCGTTTGTAGGCACGCGATGCTCCTCTCGACCACAAGCAGAAAACAGCACACGTACGGTGATGTCTGATCTCGTGGTAAGTTGTGAGGAACAAGCAGACAGACCACGCCGTGTGCCATGGTCAATCCCGGGTTTCTTCAAATTTGCATCCACATCTGCGCACACTCACTTCTGCTTTGTTTTGTGCGCACACAGCAGCAGAGCCCATCAACGTAACGGTTGTTGCAGCTGCTGTTGGGACTCCTCCCACTACGCTACAGCCGGCAACAGCCAGAGACATTATTGCTCCTCTCCTGCTGTTGTGGGAATGTGCGGGTGGTTTACAGGTCGCAGCAGCAGCAGCAGCATGCTTCTCGGTGCGGACACGTACAGGCAACTGTCCAGGAGAGCCCGGGGGAGGAAGCGGTAGCCTACGGCACGGACGCGGCGCCCAACGATGAAGCACAATGGCCATACGATTGGCGCAAACAGTTAAGAAGGAAGCATTCGGGGCGTGTGACGGCGTCCGTGCTGTGTGTGGGCGGGCCTTTGGCGGATTGGACGACTCTGTACAAATGTTCATTTTCCATACCACAAACCGCCATGTGTCCCTTCCATAGACTATATAAGTAAATCTCGATATTTTGGCTCCACTCCCATACATGGAGGTCCAACAATAAATAATCAAAATATTAAATACTTCGCGCGAAGCGCGAAGAAGAACGGGCGGTGAAAGAGACGCAGGCGTAGATCAATGGATGGAGCCTCACAGAGAGTCCACCGCACTGCTATAACACACGCTCACACCTCACCCAACACCACCAGTCAGCCGTGTACGCAGGACTGCTGCTTGCTGTAGCAGCGCGGGGAAGAGTGAAATGAAAGTGTTGTGTGGTGTGGACGAAGCTCTCTTGAGTCATCATTAGCTACTTGCTGCTGCTGCTTGCTGCTGCTGCTGCTGCTGCTGTGCTGCTGCTACTGTGCTGCTGCTGCTGCTGTGCTGCTGCTGTTGCTGTGTGGATGTGCACCACTTAACGGGCTCTAAAATCGCCCCCGACGCCCTCTTATGTATGTGTGTATTTGGTCGCCTTGGCCGGCAGCGTGTGCATGTCTCATCTCTCTTGTTTCGGGCGGGTCTGTTGCGGATCAAGAAAGAGAGAATCGGCCTGCAGATTGAGTGACTTGGTTCCACTTGCTTCACTCGCTTTTACGCTGCTAGCAGCAGGCAACGGGCTTCAAAAATCGCTCTCGATGCTTCGCATGATGTGTTCCTTTGGCCGCCTTGGCCTGCAGCAGTTTGGACGTCTCATTGGTGTACCACTGCTGTGTAGCAAGCTTAGCAGCAGCAGCAGCAGCAGATTGACTTTTGTCGCCTCCCTCGCTTGTGGTGCTGCCGACAGCAGCCACCTGGCTCTGACAGTCTACCCAGACCTCCTAGTATGTGTGTCTTTGGCTGCCCTTTGTCCACAGTAGTCTCGTGTGCTGCTGTGCTGGTTGCCTCGTGTGTATTCTACGTGTGTCACGTATGTGCTGCTGCTGTGCCACGTCTTCCGGGGGATTCCCGGTCGGCGGCGAGGCCGTCGCCCAATCATCTGTCTCTGTCCTACATAATCTCCATTCATGTAGTCGACATGTGATTGGTAGGAGGACGGCATCTACCCGGCTCTACCAACTCACGGGGTCGCAACCCTTCCGGTTGCAGCTACTTGCTGTAGCTACAGCTCCGTCTCCTGCTCCTTGTGAATGCGTTTTCATGGTAATACAGTATAATTTTGGTCTACCGCGTAAATGTCTACACTAACCGACAAAAGTTTCGCACGTGGCGGTTGGTACTGCTTGGTTTGCGACGGTTGCCTGGCAGAGGGAGAGAGAGAGAGCGAGGGCATGTCCTTTGGGGCGGAATGAGCATTGGTAGATAACTGTGTTGTGCGATGAACCAGGGAACGATGAATCACCAACCAAATCGTCCCCTGCTGTAGCTAGCTATTGTTATTGACCACCGGTGCTCTTGGCGATAGGGGCGAGAGCACAACCGACGAGAACCTCGCGTGGAAAGAAAGATACGCATACTAGTTGCTTGAATTTTTTTTTTTTTTTCTCCCATCATTGGACTCTGTCGTCTGCCCCTCTGGCCCCTATCCTCCACTTCTACTAGCTAGACGACCCAACCGGGGTCACATAGGAGGGGGGGGTTGGACCCCTCCTGCGGTTCATGCCTGAGGTACTAGTTGCTTGAATGTAGCATGGGGATGAAGGGAAAAATATTGTTAGTCAGGTGGAGAATGGCATAGAGCCGGTGCAAACGAACTACGACACACTTAACACAATACAAGAATTTTTGTTTTTGGAACCTTTTGGATGATTTTTTTTTCTGTCTTTCTGCTTTTGGCCTCGCGTGTTGATCGAGAGGGGTGGACTCGGTAAAGCTATGCCCTTTATCTCCTGTGTACTTGGAAGTGGTACTATGTCGATTGATCTGGGTCTTCTTATTTCACGGTTTGTCGACTACGGATGTCCGTACCCAATTCTGGGTGACAACGGAAGGCGTCCGCGTCACAGCCTAAGCAGAGACCGAGATGGTTTTTAGTTTATGAATAGCTTTTTTTGAATGTGCGGACATTAGACCACCCACGTTACCATTACGTCAACCATGCTGACCGCACAACACCGCTTCATCGGTTTGTTGCTGAACGGCAGGAATAAAAAGGTCTCATTAGGTATCTAGCAGGTTTTTGTTGGCAATGGCTGTGGCTATGGTTGAGGTGGCCACAGGCTCACAAGCAGCTGTTAATGTTGTTGTTGTTGTTGTTGACTTCACATTAAACCGTATGCCAGTTGCTAAATGCCAAAATCTAGCAAAGACTCTCAGCCCGTGGTCACGAAAGTGCTAGAGCCATCTGAGGATCTAAAGAACACGCACACGTAGCAAGAAAAAGGT